TTAGCATGAACGCATGGGAGATGGAAAGTTATACTTTCTGTTGCTGAGTCACGGCCTTTCTTTGATATTGGAAAAGCTAAAGAGGGCTCTACTACCTCCGAGTAGATCTCCTTTCCTAGTGGCAGCGCAACCCACTCCTCGCTTCGAGCTATGGGCGCATAAGCATCAGAAGGAAGAAATATTGGGTAGGGTAACGCACTAGGTGCAATATGATCATGAAGAGATGTCTCCGAGCTAGGGAGCAGGATGAGCCCTTCCAATGTTCGACTAGCAATGCTCGAGATCAAGTCCGTTAAACAGAAGGTCAAGATTCCGTGCACCACCTGATGAGCTTCTATTTCGCAAGCAAGCCGATGAATGCCTCTTCTCAGAAGAGAGGAGACCAGAGACATCCGTCTTGTTTCTTGCTTCTTCGGCACATGGTGGAACCAACTGCTGACCATGTCAGTCAAAGTAAATCAGAAGTGTGTAAGCTCACGCACAAATATTCGCTATCGCCCGGAAGTAGAAACAAAATCCCCACACCACCCAGGTCGGCTGTTAGTAGATGATAGCGTTCTCCCTTCCTTACCCAATCACGTATTTCCTTCGCAGAAACAGTTTCACTGGGGAGTAGTATTCCTGAACGGTTGACAATGTGTGCAAGAACGGTGGATGTGTAATGAACAGTCGACTCCCTGGAATTACTTGCAGAATTAAGCCCCAGCCAACATTGCTGGAACAAAATGTACCACAGAACAGCACATATCCGGAACTGAATTCGGTCTTCGAGATGAAGAACAGGACGGCGAGGGTCCCTCAATGGCAGTGAATCACTAAACGTGCGAAGGACATTACAAGTCTTTGCGAGTAAACTTGGGTAGTCTGTGTCTGGTGTCCCTGTACATCGTTTGAGAAACTCACAGGGTAGTTTCCAGCTCCGTATCTTTTGTTCCAAGTTGATTGGTATTTTAATAGGTGAGTTCTCGGCAGCAACGCGATCGACAACATTTGAAGAAGGAGGAGGAAGAACTTTGGGAAAGACTTGGCCTTTGCAATTGACGTCCTGATCAGTTAGCGCTTTAGCTCTCCTTTTTATTGTATGTATTATTACCTGCTTTTGGCTTGAATATAAAGGGGCATATTTCTTCTTTGCTTCATTGCCGACCTTGTCACAAAACCCTGAAAGATCGGTCATCGTCTGAATCCAGTCCGCCAGTACTGGTGATGTTAGAAAAAGGGAAAGAGGGAATGAGTTGGTGACGGATTGTGGCAGATTATGCACCAGAAGCTCCTGGTTGACCATGGCCGACTTCCCCTCATCTTGTTGTAGGGGCTTGACAAGGTTCCCATTGGCTGCCCTACACTAACCAGTCATCTTTGCGATTGCGGTCATCAGGAGGCGTGTGGGTCTATTCCCTGTTTGCCACTTCTTTGTCTATCCATTTAACCAGGTCGCCAATCAGGAATAAGGGCTTTTGTTGGTTCGTACAGAATGCAAAGTTGTTCAACTAAGGTCCCCAAGTACGCTAACTCTGCTGCGGTCTTCGAGCTACCGTGTTTATCGAGACAACCCTTTTTGTCAAGAAGTGCAACCTGAACAGCCTCAAAGCATTATTATTGCTAATATAATGGCTTTTTCCACTCTGATTAACTTTGTTACAGCATACACCTGCTTTTCTGAGCTGCAAATCTATTCCCTGCACTAAACAACGTATGACGAATTGAATGCTGAACACCCGCGGTGTGCCTCGTACCAGGAAAGGTTACTGGACCCTTAGCTTAAAGAGTCTCTTTTCGTAGACAAATGGAAGTCCCACGAAGTTATCTCAACCTCTGTAATTCAGCCAGGGATCATCACAGAGCTCTCGTGCTGTCGCTCGATGTTCCGGTTCCCATTGCAGCATTCTTTTAGCAAAATTGAGGAACAACTGTTTGTCATCTCCATCCAAGAACGGAGTAAGGTTTGAGAGACTGAAGTCCTCTGCAGGAATCAAATCCGGAAACCTAAATTCACCTATGAGAGACGTAAGCACCAAAGAAACCATTTAAGGATGGAAAGTTGTACCGTTTTTCGAGAAAAGATCAGAACATATAGTCTGGTCAGCCCTCTGCAGAAGTTGCAATGGAGGAGGGCCAAGAAGTCGAATCATCTGGGCTAAGTGAGCAGCTCGGCTGTAACTACCACTTCTGGGATCTTTCCCATTAAAAAGGGTGGTATCTGCTAGTAGCTCCCAGAGCTATCCAGTTTAGTTATAACATACCCTAGTTATAATGCACGGGACCTTACCACATTTCCTAAGTTCCATATATCCGTGCTGTATGACCATGTAGCCTTTAAGAGAACTTCTGGTGCGCAGAATTGCAGGGGTTGAATATCATGATTATGAGACTGATCACCAAAAACAGCAGAACTGAAGTCACTTATTTTCACACATCCCATACCTCCTTGTAAGTGCCCAAAATCAGGCCGAGACTGATAGACGCGACGACCAGCACATATCTTGTATGGAGGAGGATGGCTTTCCTGATAGTGTACATAACTATCAAGGACACTGCTGTTTTCGAATCCCACTAGGAAATTGTCTGACTTAAGATCTTTATTTTTGTTAACCAAGGCCAAGGAGGATAAGTAGCAGGTAGGGAGGTTACCAGTATGTATGATATGACATTCTGTATGAAGAAAGTCAAGGCCCTGTAGTAATAATTTCAAGAAGGGCTTCAGCACAGTAGAAGGGACACCAGCTTTCCCAAGGTGCCTCCCTAAAAGCCAGAGTGGTTCTCTTAATGGTTCATACAATAAGCATGTATGTTCCCCTAGAGGACCCTGGATTCCAAAAGACTCCTTTGCTACACGCACGTACCCTCTACCTTCGTGGCTAGACCTCAGTCGAGAGATATGTTGAGATATTTGGGCCTCTTCCTGGGCGGACTTTTGCTCTGCAGTTCCGCAATTCGATATTTTCAAAGTATAATACCGGTGTGACTGCCAGCGCCATCTTCTCCTATTAGTGCTGCTTCATTAAAAGGAATATAGCTTGTTAACTTACCGCGAACAGTCCTTGGCCAGCCACACAGTAGAATTGACACCCCAGCCAAGTTTCGATATAAGGCGGTATTTATTGTGAATAAGCTCTCCAATGTAGGCAGGATAATACTTATTTGCATCGTAATAGGGACTTCCATCTTCTTCACCACTGAGGTCAGAACGAAGAACACTCTCGTAGCTGACCATCCTCATAGACGGAAAAAGAGAAAGTTTGGAACGGAGGAAACGCTGGATCGACATTGGAATATTAGAATGCTCTTGGAGCCGAGGGTCGGCGTACCGTTATTAAATACTGGGGAGGTTATTGAACATCGGACCGTTATTACTTTTATCCGAACACCTATGACTGATATTGTTGCACTATTATTTCCGTTCTCTTAGCGTGCAAGACGGTAATGATGAATAAGCTAATCAGGCACGATATTCTGCACTACAAAATACAGAGTGGGATAGCTACTTATCCAGGACTTATTTCACGATTGTGGTGCACTGCATACAATTTTAAACTATCTAATTTTAAACTACCTTCAAGCATTGCGGTCCGAAGCTAACAAGCCAAACCTGACCCACTGGCCCCGCTCTACCGTATTCCCTGCGATTGCGTCAAGCTTTTCCACCAGATCCATTGCCGGATTGCTCTTCCTTTGGGAAGTAATCGTTGACCTTTTTTCCCTCGTTGTATTTTGGTCTAGAGAACCATACGTTCTTGCCTCCAAGTGGGTTCGGGTAGTAATGGACGGAGGTGATTCTTTGTCCCTCCTCCGAAGTAATTTCAAAGTTCGCGTGGAGAGGATCTTTCCTGCCGTCAGCCTTCGGCGTGGAATGCGGTCTTGACCTACTGCTATGTTAGCAAAGAAAGTACAAGCTCCAGGAACGATAAACTATACATCACTTTGGCGTTTTTTGCTTTTTCGAGCTCAGGAAAAGAGCCTTTTAATTTGACGACCGCTTCCTCGACTGCAGTCTGCGCCGACGTTTCATTGATACCTTGAACGCCGGTCGTGCCCGATTTCCAGGAAAAGGTGAGAAACCGGCCAACTCGAGTAACCCAAGACATACTGATAGCAAGGGGAAAAAAATTGTCAAGTGAAGGAAGTGTGATGGGTAATGGTACCAGAGAGGACTTGATGGATTCCGTGATGGTTGAAACTGCCATATATATTTGGTAGATAGGGTCGAACGACGACACAGAAGGTCTAGATATGCCTATGGGATCAAGATTGGTGTATTGTTTTAGTGCAATCTCTCTGCGCGATTGTACGATTGGTTCTCTCAAGAACTGTTCTTTCACCTTTCCCTCCAACTTCGCCTGGAATTGGCCAATTCTAGCTGAACATGCAGCACTTCTGTTTTGTGGCTGGCGCCTCTCAAGAAGTATCCTAGCTGCCTCACCAGCGGCACCAGTGACACTCTGGTATATCCTAGGAAGTACTTGGTAGTAAGTGCCTGCTAGGAAGCGCTAGGCTGTTAGTGCCTCCTGGGAAGCGCTAGACTATTAGTGCCTCCTGGGAAGCGCTAGTCTATTAGTGCCTCCTAGGAAGCGCTGGTCATTAGCTGCATCCGCAGTCCTAGATCATATTGATTGGGCAACGAGACTGGGATAAGTTTGAGAAGAAGCGAAGATGGTCTGACGAGTGCGGTATATTGCTCCAGCTGCCTATGAAGAGCTTGTGTACGAAGTTTAACTTTTCTAATTTATGTAATTACCGCACCCAGGACACTACTCTTCAAATTGAGTAGTTCACGAGCCGTTCGGAGATTGGATGATATTGCTCTGCTTACCCTTTTCAGCGACCCAAAATGATTCGAGCATGGAGAGTCCAGGGATTCTACCCTGGGTTCTGCTTCACTACCAAAAATCGTAATTCCAACATCAATATCAGGACAATAAGGACCGCAACTTGATCTATAAATGCCAGCCTTGTCTGGAGTGCTCACCGCAATATGGCACAGACCAGTCCATACTTTCAGCATGCTCTTCTCTCGAGTAACCTTTGCCTGGGCAAACATGTTCTGCTTCACAAAATTTACGAAAGCCTCCTCATCCGCATCAGGTGGCGCACAATCGACAGCTTACCAGGCTACCAGTGAAATTATTTCAAAATACGCCAGCATCTCGCCGATGACTCCATCAAACCCTGGAAAGATGGAAGATACCGCGCCGTCTAAGCCCAGCTTAGCAGATCTACACGCAGGACAACCAATCCTGGATGTTGTCGCAGCCGAGGTGCACTTTGGGATATCTTTCTTCAGAGACTACTGCGGCATTTTAATCAAAGGGGGTCAGATCCATATGGTGTTTACAGCTCGGTTTCGGGAGACCCCCGAAAAGATCCGTCTCATATCTTGCCCACAACTGATTCACGCGCCTAATTTGACCCCTGAAGGCCGAGAGTTGCTTCAAAGCAAACTCGATGCTGTTCTGGGCCGTATAACAAAAGAGGAGTGGGTCAGACTCAAGAATCGCTACAACATTATCAGAAAGGAGTGGCTTATTGTTTCTGATGCCTAGGAAGAACTAGGGATTTAGTTTTATTACCTGGGCTTTTAAGATGGATGTAGTCAAGTTTTATCTGAAGTGTATTTGGAAAGCTCTGGGACAGGTCTGGAACGGATTAATGGACATGACCAGAGCCAAACTTCTTTGGCTAGGACTCATTTCTTTCGGTGTTATAATTTCTTGTATTTTACCCTCCGAGACACTAGCATTGATACCGAAATTTGCGTGTAGCCCGGCCTCTGTCTTACGACGCTGGAGGCATATATAGGAGCGATGATCACGAAGCAGATAACATATTGTGGTTCGAAGAGGCTCTCTACATAGTCTCCATTCTCTAGATAATGTCATTTGAAAAGGCTCTCTACTTAGTCTCCATTCTCTATCTAATATGGTTCTTATTTATCTTTCTTCTTTTATGCGCCTATTACTTTCTGGCACCGGCTAAGAGTTCAACGAAGCAAGCCAAGCCTGCGTCAACAGACGAGACAGGTTGTGGCTCCTCCGGAGCTAGTAGGAGCACCTTCATGGCGACTCCTTCAATTGCAACAATGACCAAGGATGATATTGATTTTGGGCTTTCTCGTGCTGGAGTGTACTTTGCGAACAATTATCCAACCGGTAAGACACCCAAGTGTCAGTACAGCACACTGGCTGACCAGAACTCTACCAGCGGCGATATTTATCCTCATGAGATTTGAAGAAGAGCAAACCCCCTGCTTGGTACCAGCACCGGGATCTCCTGCTGTTCTTGCCGAATGCCAGCGCATTTTTCCATGTAGTTGGAACCAACTCTCTTACGGTCAATGCTATATAGTGTTGATGAGCATGTCACGGACAGAGACATTGGATGGAGAGCTTGGCCAGTTGATGCGGAAAAGAATCAGAGAAGATCTACTTGCCAATGAGGAATACAAGGAGAGCTTAGACGGGCAACTCGCATGCATTGCCATACATCTACAACAACTTGTTTGCGTCCGGGACTCTGAAGTGGCTGAAGGCACTGAGGGAGTGCTCGAAGAGTTTCTCCCTGTCTATGACAGCAATAAAGTCATCAGGACATGGATGATTAGAGTGTCTGCACGACGATGCTACCGGGGTTCAATGACTCGTACTGGGACAATCAGTGAGCTTTTTACCAGATTGTCAAAGACAAAGTCTTTTAAACAATTCTAGGGCTTATACAAAGAGGTTGATTTAGAATGTTCTGCTACTCTCAAAGCCAAAGTAAATACATTCCTATTTCTAGCGTAGCAACTTAGACACTACCATCGTCTTCTTTTCCCTGTAGAGGTTCCCTCCATCCATATCGATTGATCATAAGCGCCTCCTTTTCTCTCGCATTAACCTGTTTCAGTCATTAATGCGTCAACTATACGGAGTAAAAAAGTTGGGTAAAAAGAAATAAATCTAGTAATGAAAATAGAAAGAACAGTAAGAAAAAAAAGTAAAATAAAATAAAATAAAGGCACGGGGCACGAGGTACAGGGAACAGAATTCCAAGTCGGAACTATTCGGTCAGGATGTTTTGCTGCCTGCCAGCACCCAGAATTAACAAGGCCACTCATTGTAGGCGTATTTTATACTGCGCTTAGATCTTCTATGCGCCATGCACGACAATCACATCCCTGATCGAGAATATTCCCTGCTATACCAGTAGAGTAGCCAAGGGCGAGGAACCTCCTACCTTCCAATACACCAACCGCCCCCAACGAGGAAAATATGCTGGAAAAGGAGACTAGGGCGTGATATACTTGCGTAGGGTAAAAGTGTTATATGGATGGGAGCTTTTCTCGTCTTATTTGCCCTTAACGCCCACTTTAAGAAGAAGCGCATTGCTGATCCTGAGTCTTCTGCTGCCTTCACTCAACAATCAACAACCCCATGAAGAGTAACATGGATACTGTAAGTCCTCTGGGCACGATCATGGCCCCAGGCACTAATATATTAGAGGGAAACTAAGAAGCGGCAAAATACAGGGGCAGGAAGGGAAGGACTCATACCAAGAAAGAAGGACAAAGAAGAACACAAGAGTGTAAGGGGTAGCAATCCTCATTGGCGTCCACTAGCTGATAGGTTATAGCAAGAACTAGGCATTCATACGCCCAAGATAAAGACCCTGCTGTCGAGAGGCCGCCATTAATTTACAGGAAAGCTGGAGAAGCACCGAAACATGATTGGGACAAGAAGTTACCCGGTTTGCGCCTTAGGCGGCCCTGCTGTAGCTGCAGGACGGAAGTACCGGTAGGCCTAGTCTGTCGTATTTGTCACCACGAGTCTTGTCCTGAGTGCTTGTACATGCAAAAGTGAGATTACGGATGTTGATCAGACACACGGGCCTCTATACTAGGACTAGTCACCAGAATGGACTCGACCTTGATGGTGGCGTTTGGTACTTTGTTATAGCTGAGGATAGAGGACAGTTTTGCTACTTTCAAGCACTTCAGAGAGGCTCATCCGACTACTGTTGCCGGGAGGGAAGATACTCTATTCTTAGCTAAGGGCAGCAGGAATTCGCGTTCATGCAATCCTACCATCCATGGCATGCAAACTATGCCGCATTAGATGCAGGAAGTAGGATAGAGAACCCATGTATTGTACTTGATTCACGTTAGGAGGGCAGAGAGAGATATCATACCCCACCCGAGCCCCTGCATGACTTTCCTGTTTGCGGCTTGTCGTGCGTGTATCAATTCCGTGCGCCACGAGATCAATGGTAGTGGAAGTCCAGAACACTTTGCCTCCAACTTGTCCCAAAAGCTTCAGCCATCCTTGTCCACTCGCTAAGCCGAACGAGTCATCTGGTAGCATCCGCTACGCACGCTGGACAGGGCTCCCCAGATAGGCCGTAGCAAACTAGAAGGGTCATTGCTGCCAATCGACCAGTCTTAGGACTATCCAAATATCGCGTAGCTAGGCGGCAATGCCGGAAGCACTGCAACCAGTCAGACTCATCGACCCGTCTACTTCCATATTCGATCGTTATTCAATACCCAAAGGGCACAAGCATTCTGATCTCTCATCGCCAACACTAAAAAACTGCCATTTCCCCCGTCTTGAAGCTCCAATCCTTCTTCTTCCATCTAGTTCCTCTCTCCTTCAGGATATTGAGTGTTCTCTTGAGCTATGGGTAGCTTCTCACATGTCAGTCACTGATTGTCTCTTCTCTTGACTTGACTTTGTGTCACCATCCTCGTTTACCGTACATATCCCCGGAGCAGAAAACAAAGAAAAGGATCAAGTAGTCTTGATCTAATTCCAACTCTGTTGCAGCTTGTCGCACCTGCCCATCTGTGTGCCGAAATCAGTTGCCAGTCCATCTTGCAGCATCTCCCACTTCCAGGCCGTTCTTGATTGTTTGCTCTCGAACGTCCTTGGGTGTCTGATCTCTGTTCTTGTCTGGGTGCATCCTGTGAGTAGAATGTCGTCACTATTCACGCATACTACCCCCTCTCAAATCTGTTCGATGGGCGTTGGTCTGCCTCGAAATGGCTCATCTACCTTCAGAAGTAATTTACAGCGGATGGCGGGGTCATGGACTCGAACCGCCGTGCTGGGTTTCGCTTCTGTCTTGACGTTCTTATCTAAATTTTGGGCCTTTCTCATTGCTGTATCTTGTGCCCCCCTTCAAGGCTTCTGGCACGCTGCATCTTTCCAAGTGTCAAACAAAGCTAATCAGCGACATTTGTCTGCCGTGACTTCACTAGACCTGGATCTCTGCAGCCTCATCACCATCCCGGATCACCTGGTGCCCCGTTGGAAGAAAGACCTTCGAGACAAATATATTGCGCTATCGCAGCTGTAAAACTCGCTCCGACCTCGACGACATTTTCATGTGTTGAGCAATATCTACCTCTCAGCAACTCAGTAACTGTACTGCCTGAGAAACATCCAACTCGAGATTGTCCAAACCTTCTCAACAAAACCTGCCGTACCTTTGTCAACATCAACCTCTCAAATCACACAATGGTGTTCAGCGCACCTGTTCCTGGGGTGGGCTCCAGTAAAAGGCCGGCGTCATGCATGCAGGACGATGTTAACGGCTGGGATAATGTCCCGGTAAGTGATACCGGCATTGGAAAGACATATGGAGCTGACTCATCTCCTACATAGCCCATGGGTAAATCCGTGCGTTCATCGATCAACGTCCCTTACGCCCACTACGCCATGATCTATCTCGACAACATGGGCAGAGTGAAGGTAATCGAATCTCCGTCTATCCAGAAGCAAAATGGGACTGTTTTCACAACCGAAGTCCGTGAAAGGTTTTTGGAGATCCTTGGTGCCAAGATCGGGTATCAACGCCCCATGGTTCGAAGTATGTAAACACTCCGCGCACAAGTACCATATTCTTGCTGATCTCATTTGAACAGGGTTGTCAGCTGCCGGTGCTACACCGTATAGCTATGATCCTCAACAACCGCTTGGTCACTTGCCTTACCGTCAAACGAAGCAGGGCAGAAATTCCCCAGCCCACTCTAAGTACGGTGTGCCGCCATCCGTCCAGTTCTCAGTCCCCGTTGAGGTAACGCCCTCTTGTGCATCAGTGGACATGGTCGGGCTCGAGATTGGTGATACTCCTAAAGTCCTCGACTACTATGAGAGATCCTTGAAGCACTTCCAGCAGCTCAACTGTCGTCAGCTTGCAAAGGCATTCATTAAGTTCATCGAGCCAGGAAAGCAAGTCAAGCACCCCTATAATGGAGGTAAAACCCCCGCAGGAGCCTCTCCTGGTAAGAAGGGTGATCCAGAGAAGACAAAGCCTGAATGGTGGCCCGCCGATGTGGTTCACAAGGAGCCTGACCATCTTCGAAAGGATCGTACGTGTGCCCCTCCAGGAAATCTCCAGTGTCAAGTAATTTTGCTGACAGATTTAGAACGCCTCTCTCTGTTGATTCATATCATCCGCAATCTTGGAAGATCCGGTATCACCACGGATCAATTGCAGGAAATTGCCCACGAGTGCAAGCGGCAGCTCAGAGGCCCCCACAGACTCCAAATCTTGGACGAGGTCTTCGGAGTGAGAAGGATTGAAGAACGCTATGAAAGAGGAGAAGTTGGTAAGCAGCATCTTCTTTCTGTAAAATTCTTTTTGACAGCTGTTGACCAGCCTCAGATGCCAACACGATCGTATATGTTGTCAACCGAGAGTCGAAACAGAAAGGGAAGGATGGCGACCCCAATGTGGATCCGGACCAGAAGCATGAGCAAGAAGATGATAATGCGGATGAGGCGCTTCCCATTCTCCACTCTGAGATAAACTCAACCAGCCTGGGGTCGAGCTCAGTCAAACACACGGGCATGGCGGCACCAAGTTGTCCAATTAATATGGGAGATGACAGAAACCAGTTGTTTCCTTTACCGGAGTCGTTGAGATTTGGTAAGACACCTCGGGATGATCGGACCTTCTTTCCCACGACCTCCGAGGATACCGAAGATTATGCATCGCAGCAGATGCCCAGAACACTTGCAACAACAGCACTTCTCAGCCCCAATGAGACACATGCCGCTTTCAATTATATGACACAGGCGCCCATCACCTCTCCCGCCTCGGAGCAGATTTCCAACCACCGCCAAGCACCCTTGCCCATGCAGCACTCAGCCAGCTTCGACCCTTGGACGCCTTCGTTCCGGCACAATCTCTTCAACCCAACGGAGTATGGTACTTCACCCAGTCACGCCATGTCTCAGACTACTATATCATATCAACTTCCCATGTCCCCGACGTCCCATCCCCAGGAAATGCCTCACATGGCTCACGGCCTGCCGAACCTGCCTCAAGACTGACCTTCAAGAATGGATGGCATGAGCATGAGAGGCCCTTCTTTCAGGATCATTGAGTCACCCCTGTGATCCATCACAGCAGGCTCCTCATTCCTGCTGATGTGGCCATCCTGACAGTTGGACTAAAAATATGCGGACTTAGCCATGCGGCTTATTCGACGTCAAGTGACTGCCAGGACACTCCATGGTTTTATATGGCAGGTACTGTCGATGACTTCCCAATTCTTCTTCATTTAGTATATATACTCGTTGCTTGTTCTATGTTCGACCATGTCTTTTTCCTTATACATACGTTCAAAAATTCTGTTGGAGATGGCGCCAGATGACATGAGATGCAAATTATGGGTGATGTTCTTGTGTTTGTTCATTTCACTTTTTCTCTCTCAATCATGATTTGAACAACTGGCAGCGAGGGGTGTTGAAGCTCATTCACTTCGGATGCCAACCGGCTGAATGGGAGGTAACGAGGCCTAACAATGATTGCTTTCTGGATTAGCTTTTTCGATCAAAATACAATGATCACTATATCCCATAAAATTACACTGGCTTCACATAGCGCATGTTTCTGAATTGATCCTTTCCCTGCCTCTGACGGTTGAAGTGTCTTTGGATGCTAAGATCTTCTCCTATCCTCGGAGGCACACTCTGTCTGTCCAGCAATCCTTGGAAAGTCGCTTCACCGTATGCGCTACGTTGCGGCCCTCCCTCACTCATCCGCTCCTTTGTGGCTCAGCTTTACCTTCTCAGCGTTCTCAAGCTCCAGATCTTCGATCCGCTAGACAACGAGTTAGCGCATGAATACTACGGCAGCAGCAAGATCTTAGCTGACCGGTATGCCATAATTGAGCATAATCTTCCTGAGCTGTTCTGGATAAGGAACATCATGATCATATTTCTCTAATGAGTATAGGAGCCGTGACGTCTAACAGGAGGAGTTTACAAATCCCAGACGTTTTTGATTTAACATTAACGTCTCCGTCCATAGCATCGAGATACGTACTCGTCGTATCCCGTATAGTAGGTTACAGGAATGCCTTTGGAGCCTGAATATATGTTGGTCGCGGGACTCCGCACCACCAGCCGCCTTGCATACGGATAGTAACGATGGGTGTCTCTACTACAGTATTCTTTAACTGAACAATTACGTACAGCAATATCCCAATCGTCTGGCAGCCTTACCCATGGTATGAAATTAGCAGTCGTTTTCCCAAACTCTGCACTAGCTTATTGGCATCTAGTACATGGAGAACACAAGGAATTCTTTCCTAAACAGCAGAAGGTGTACGACAATGCTAATCGACGTAGCCTCAGCGGCAACTATGGAGACACTGATGTGTTCCTCAACATTCAAACCAGAGCGTCCGATGAATCCACCCAAAAATTGCCGCTCCTCAGGCAGCTGAACGTGTATCACGGCCGCCCGACAAGTACGTTCCATTGCCTTGAGAGATATCGGACATTGCCGACCTCATCCAGCGGATAGACTGGGCGAGCTTCTGCAGCTGGTCGGTTGATAAGGAGTGAGGGGTGAAGTGTCCCCCTAGTTCGTTCCTCATCAACTGGCTGGAGCACTAGTTGGCCGGACTCGAAGCAGACGGGGAGACGGTCGAGCGGAATAAACTCCAATCGTGGGCCATCTAAGATTTCATCAAGCAGTGCAGGGTCGTATATAATCATTTCCTTCAAATCGGAACGGTGATGAGGTTTCGCTTGCGCGAGACCTTAAAGCATCGCGAACACATTATTCCCCAGGATCATTAGTTCCAGAGCCTGTGCCTCAGAGATTTCTGCTTGACCCTACGGACGATTAAGTAACGGTAATCAGCTGGCCTTTGCAGTCAAACAAGGGTAGGTCATTAGGGTTGAGACACACCTTTTGTGGTGCGGACTGCGTGGAGCGTTGGCTCCGTCCCCCCATCTTCGAAGTGTCAACAACTGAGCGTTGTCTAGAAATATGTTCCAAGACGGACATAGGTGTGGTCAACCGAACACATAAGATGAGACTAGGGTGATCAAAATTTATAGGAATTTTGATACCAGAAATTCATTAGGCTGGGAGGCACTATACTTTTATGTCAACAGCGAGCTGGTAGAGTGTCGATGGCTTTCGTTATGGTGCTAGTCCATCCAAGCGTGTCCAATAAAGTTCCCTATACGGCTCTACTACGGGTACTATTAGAAGTAGTAGCATCATTAAAAGAAGCGATATTGGACTATTGAATGCGAAACATATCCGGGTGGGTCTAATTAATATATTTTTTCCATTGGTACAGAGGGGCATCTTTCGAATCGCTTTCAATTCCGCTGTCACTACAATTCAGTAAACTTTGATTGAATCAACATCTCGGCAAATACTTCAACTTGTCAAAAGAATTCGTCTTTCAGGGACTCGAATGGGTTAGCCGTGTGCAGCCACTCTTATCGCGATCGTCTCTTTGACGTGTGGCTGTCAGACCGTCGCCACAAAACCGTAGTGTATATATACCCAACGTAGCGCTTGGGTACGTGGCCTTTGCGAATACCCGTCAGATGTACAGTACAAAGAGGCGAAGCCAGAGGGATCGTTTGACTAGTCTCTGAATGACTAAAGAGCCACGGAATAGGTGCCAGGGAGTTGCTGATGGAAGGCAGTTTGGAGGGAATATACAGAAGAGCGAGAAAACCAGCAAGGTGCGGAGCATCGGGCTAGGCAGACCGGATTCAAATGCTCGCTTTGGACACCAGGAAGTTGACCCAGGTAGTGTCAGTGCCTGACCGGTCATTACGTCCCTCTGTGTCTTTGTCGGCATCTTCTCCGAAAGGGCAAGTTCACCTGCGTGAACAGCAAAAACAAGTTCATGTTATCCAGAAGCGGCGATTTCCTGGATTCTGAGTTGATTGTTTCGACCAGGGTCGGGCATCAGCTCACTAAGTCGGTGTCTGTTAGTGCCAGTGATTCTTTTCCCTGTAGTTGGCCAGGTCAAGATACCTGATCAATTAGTGCAGTTGGGTTAGCCAGGTTCTAGGTGGAGGAAGGGAACAACAAAAACCACAGAAGCCCTCCCAAAGACGGTCCTAGAGATCGCATTCGCAGCAGCAGCGTATGTACATCTATCCTCTGACCATGAAATGCATTGATGATTGAGAGACGCTGTCGCGGGCTGACGCAGATGCACTTTGTTGGCGGACTCGACTCGTGTCATTTTTGGAGTCCTTTTACCAGGTGCATTAGCGGCGCAGCTTCCTGCGTCTCGAATTCCCATCTTATCTTCACCACTGCCCAACCAGTCAAACAGACACATGGTTTGGTCGGTAATCTGGGCGGTTACTACTTGGCACAAATCAAGGAGTTAGTGGAGTCCGACATGACAGGAGTAGCAGCTTGGTAACCAAAACCTGATAGCCCTGCACTTGCGAAAGGCATGTATAGCAAGCAACTACAATCTGTAGATGATCCTAATTTCGGCAGAGACGGTATCCTCCTGTCGAGTACAATATCAAGAATTACCAGCTGTTCTCTCGACGATAATTTTTCCTAAGCTAAAAAAGACTACCATCACAGCAGCGACAAACATCTAACCGGTAATCTAAAATCACGATGCAGATATTTGCAAGTACAGCGCGCATCGCTTTGACCATTCATGAGAGAAGTTTTGCGTCTTCATGCCTTTCTAGTACTGCGCTTTCGTCGTTGCCCTTTCTCGGTTGTCCTCGTCTTTGGGTGATTTGCCCAGTCTTTTGCCTTGTCTGTCCATTAACCCAACTTGTTTAATAGAACCTGTTGCCGTACCGGAGAATCCTTAATAGGTCGACCCTATCGCTACTTTCTTCAAAAGGAGTCGGGTCGGTCAATTACACTTCCCGAAGCCGCTCTTGAAAACCCGCAATATCCAGAGAACCATGTAGATGCACGCCTTTCATGAAAACCATGCCCAGCCCACGACACGCTGCTATATATACTATATGGCTGCTACTTCCACGCTTGCACTTGCCTCCGTACCGCATCCCTTAAATTGTTTATGTATCCGGAACTGGCCTGATTTGTCTTTTTACAGCAGGTCATTGTTCGCCTATTGATTCAATTGATCCAGTCAGCAGATAAAATGTCGCACACAGACATGCATCTCCCCAGAACTCCGGTCATGCTGCCGGCTCAGTTGGAGACCAGCGCGCCAGAGGATGCAGATTCCTCCTCGGGGTCTTCATCTACTTCGATCTGTTCCTGCTGTACATCGCCGCCACTCGAAGAACCAATTCATCCGGCCGACCCAATTACTGAACACGGGTTGTATCCCTATACCGCTCTTGAAGAACGATTCTTGAGGACGTTGACTATCTTCTCCGCCACGCCACTCCACGCTCAAGCAATGGCCATGGCACCACATGACCATCGGGTAACTCGACAATGGCTGCTGATTGAGCTTCTCTCCCACCGGATTTTCTCCACATTTCCAGAGCAAGGTGCTATCCGCAAGCTCAGCACGTCTTACTATGAACCTGTTGGTCCGGGTGATATTCTGGTCATTAGCGCGCGCCCAGTAACCAAGAAATCGTTACGTTGGTGCGAGGCAATCATAACCAGGGAAAGCATGCTGGTGGCCATTGTCACGGCCCTCTACGACGGGCCACCTGTGGGAACGCGGGGCGACGCCTGGCTCCGAAGACCAGATGACTTGTTGGATCAGTCAGTTAGTTTAGCAACCTCGTCTCTGGCACCTGGGCATGAGTGACGGCATTCGTAAGTCATGGGCCCTCGTTTATGTACAGTGCCAAACCTTGCTCTGGAATTCATGGTTTTTTTACCTACATGCGTTTTTTTTGTGGGTTGTTCTCATGTGCATCTCTCGCGTCACCACTGTACCAGATGTTGGGTGCAGCAATCCAAGGCGACGTATACTCCCAAATATCCATTAAGTCTTATTTGGTATCCAGGATTCTGCATGCTCCTGCTTCTCATCCATCTCTAAACCTACATCTCCTGAGCGACGCTGAGTAGCGTGGGGTACTGTATATGGGATAAGCTAAGGAGGACCGGGAACGCGCCATATTTCTTTGCATTGTCTGCAGTAACGTAGAAACTGATGCGAACCTACTGTCCCGCGCCAAAGACTCGGCGTAGCTGTCTTACTATGGGCCTTAGGTTGATCAATTGTTGCCAGTGCACCCCTTAAGAAGGGCTTCGCCCCCCCAGGCAGAGCCCGGGGCCCCCGAAAAGAAATCATCTTCAACTAGATTAAGAAAGAAACTCCACAATAAGAATAAACAACATACCAAAGGTAAAAATATACATCTCACGTTCACACCAACACCACACTCACATTCTAAATAAACAACCAACTCTCTCACACAACCAAAGAAAGTAAACACACCTTTTCCTCACTTGAATATTCGCTTCACTAATAAAAACACTCCAACTCCGTAACTAACGTAGGGCTTCGGGCCCCCAGGCACAGCCTGGGGCCCCCCAAAAAAGAATCCAACAATAACCAACAACTGTACGTTTTAAAAACAAAAAACAAGCATCCAACACGTTGCATAATCAGCATGAACACTTCCAACCTTCAAAAATAAAAAAATACTCACCGCAACATACAAGTTGCTAACCAACCAAAGTAACATTTCAACCACCCCGAATATCGTATCCACAACAAAAACGATAATCTTCAAACATCAGTATCAACTTCCAAAATAAACATAAACAGGACGTACCAGTCCAACCCTCAAGACCATTCATTGCCTCCGCATACCGCGTGAATACACGCTCTCTTTCCACCTCCAGCTGTTTTCCAACCAAAACACCAGACTCCAATGCTTTCACATAAGCAGTAACCAAATCAAACGCCGACATATAATGCTCCTCCCATCGATAAACCTCTTCCCGAGACATCGACGCTCTAGCTCCCTTAAAGACAGCCACACCAGCGCGAAAATTCTCGCGCAACTTCAAGAAAGAAGAATCACTATACCTGTACCAGCATTGCTCAGCACAGTCCCTGTCTAGCAACTGACGGTTAACAAAAAACCGTGATAACACGAATAAACAGACATACCATGAACATGTTGTAACACCAACGCATTACAACTACACAACTGCATTTTTTTTCTGGATGGGCTTACGTTTTGCCCCGTGGTTTGGCGAATATGACGTATCAGTGGGCTCGTCAGGGAGTTCAGAAGAATGTCGTTGTTGACATTGAACGTCGAGTTTCGTCGAGTCATTATGATGTGATTTATTCTTTTATTGAGATGGTGAAGTCGAACACCAAGTATCGGTCTTGCATTGGATTCATGCGACTGGATGTTCACGTGGTTGTGGTTACGAATGTCATGTTTGACGAAGGGAAGATTACTAAAGAACGCATGTGTTTGCATGATTTGTCTGTTCAGAAGGAGAAGTTTGATTTCTGTTGACTTTGACTACATTAATGTTCCTAAGTTGTTGGATTCATAGATATATATATTTTAGCATCGGGTACAGAGTTACGTTGGTTTCACGTATTCGATTCAGAAAATTCGGGGGGCCCCAGGCTCTGCCTGGGGGGGCGAAGCACTTCTTTACAGGTAGGGCAATTAGATTTTAATTGTTTTCTTTCTAGTTGGTCTATAGAACGACCCAAGGTGGTGTTCAACTACATGATAGTTGAGGGTGTATGATGATGACAGAATTCAACTTTTTGGATCCACTTGGATATTATAACATTGCCCCAAAAAGCGTGGGGAAAGCGTGGATGTAGACTAGCCCAAATGCTAACCTACATTTTTGAGCTTACCAGGTGAATCGAACCAAAGTCATATCTTTTCATGGGTTATTAAGCTCTAAAAATGACCGGTCTCACCATGCTTCGAGATAAATCAGGTCATGACCGACTAGTTTGCTCAACGCTCTCCAGCCCATCATTAGCCGCCATCTACGAGTCTTATAAGGTACAATATCTGTGCTCCCTTTTTTGCTGATCCTTCCTTTTCTGCTGATCCTTGGCCCCTTGCGTCCTCTATATTTGGTTCATTCTGTTGGGCTCAACAACGCCAAATGGGTTGATGGATGACTGTAGTGGCTCTAAATAAATCATATTTCCTAGTCAATACTAGTGCAAGTAGGGCTGGCTGTGGAAAGGAGCATCAAAGCTAGAAACAGGAGGGGTTTCCCTGACAGTGATCCCGCGTTGTCGGGACGACTTTTACCCGGATCGGGCAGCGGGAAGGAAATAGCAGGGAAATCACCAGGCAAAAAGCAAAACATGGACTAGCAGAGCAGACCCGAAACTCAGGTTCCCAGCGGAATAACTAGGCGAGGCTTAACTGCTTGACTTGACTTATTGGCATTCCAGCGGAGAATCAGAAGAGCCCAGACACATCCAAAATGCCCATGCAAGTTCATTCTAAGAAAAGGGCTCGAATTATGACACCTGTGGAAGACCAGATGGTTGGAAAGAGGGCACCGCATTCAAGCATTGAGGCGCAGGTTATTTACGGGAGAAGATCTCCTGCAGGTGAAAACGCGTGGAAGGCTTAGGGCTCTCGCTAATGCATGTCGGCGTGCAGCGCCATGCGAAACTGCCAATATGTTTGATGTGCACCAGAGACTGCCAACATGAACTGGGTGGGTAATGGCCTGCCGTTCAGTTTGTCTATTCCATTCTGTCTTATTCCAAATGGCTATTGGCCCACCGCAGTTGCAAATCAGCGCTGTCGGTCGTGGAGAGTGGTAAGCCCGAACGCTAGACCTCTTTCCGAGGCGCTCAGGGGTTCAACTTGGGTTCAATCTGGACATGAAGACCACTCATTACAAAGATTACATGTTTGATTTTCGGCACTCAACCTGCAGCTTGGGGAAAACGTGAGATCCAGTCTGCTTGGATTTGTTTCTGCGATGGCTAGTACCATAAATTACCGGCCGAAAGACGCCATACCTCTGACAACGACTTTTGTGTGTTGCGTGTTGTAGTTCCAGAAACAGGATGTCTACAGATATATAGATTTGCTCCCCTTAGGTACTACAGTATATATAACCCAGTGGCGGATGAGGCAGATTTTCTTTTCTATTCGCAATTTCTCATCGCGATAGCAATATAACCAAGGAGTCAGTTTGATTTTCATCAGAGTAGCCGTGTCTATATATAAAAGAATACTGTGCTCCGTAATATAGTCGCGACCACACGGATTTCATAAGTGGTTACAATGACCCGCCGTAGATTATTTACTTCGGAAGTTTCTTCAACCGTGGTCCGATGCCGCCAACGCGCGCAATGTCAACGCGTGAGAGGATATGGATACATTATCAGGCCGAATAATCCAGGCGGGACAACGCTATGCTTGTAGTGCTAGGGCCCGCCCCAGATGACTGTACAACCATCTCCGTAGTCAGTGGTGAGCGCCTGCAGTGCACAAGAGCAACGAGATTTGGGCCGGTTATGACTGGCGAGTAGTCAACTCAGGCGATGGAGCCAGTGACCGTCGACGACGATCATTTTGCGACAGCAGGTTACCCGCAGATCCGTTCAATAGTTGAATTGGATTGAGTTCCATTGTACTGTCGTTTGCAGAGCGACGTAGATTACTTTCTCTCAAGGCGGCTTGTAGTCGTATACCCAGACGGCGTGCCCGACAGAAGTATTTTGAATGTTTCGAATAATTCATGGTATCCGAGATCGTAGTCAATATGAAGAGCGCGGGCTCCTAACAAGAGCGGCACTCCGTGCTTTATGTGAAATTCTCTCTCATGATCTCTTGCCCTTATATACACGCGAAAAGCCGACAACTGGTGACTAGTGAAGCACTTCCACGCGGAATACTCATGTGACAAGCTACTTGTAGTGTTGGAAGGTCCGGGTGAGCCTGGTCAAATAGAGGCCTTTGTTGACCCTTTCCCGAGACAGCTCTCTGCCACCGGACACTCCGAACGCTCTGGATATGCACCGCGCGGGTAAGATGGCTACCCTATACAGCTACCAGGCCCGAGCAAATAGTAGATGGCCCGGGTAATAGATAGTAGATCTTCGCTGACCGTTCTGAAAGGATTTGTCCGGATTGATGCCCACGCCCATCATCTCTCAGACCATAGTGATAGCTTATCCGAAGACGACCAGTGGGTGCAAGGGACGATGCGTCCTGCGGTGCTGTCGACCATAGATATGGTAGGGCGAATACTGAGCAGAGCATGGCCGAGTGCTTTTTGGCTTTAGCGGTGATGCCCATGTTGGCTATCCGTAATCGAATGCCCGATGATTGCAGGTTCACCAAGGTCGATGAGAAAGCAAACCTCCCGGTACATTGGCCAGCTATGGCTGTAGCTTGCTCAGTCAAAGTTGATACGAGGTTCGGGCGGTACAGTACAAAAGGCCGACCTTGAGTGCGTTCTGAGCTTGTGGAATTCAGAACCACGCCTCTTCCAGCGAAAGGGCAGCGATATGAGCGACACCCTCACACCCGATCGACAACATCGAAGAATCAGAAACACAAGGAGCAGATGACTGGCTAAATGACATCGCGAGCGAAATTGACGATTTATGGCTTTACGGACATCCAGATAAGGGCACGTCACCACAGACATCTCTGGTCACGGATACCTACATGGCCGGAGGGAGAATCTACAAGGGGTGCACATGCCCTGAGCACCAGGAGATCTACGCCAATTGGCCAACACGAGATGCTGAGTTGAGGATCGCTCAATATATGAGAATCTGCATGTATTGTAACAAGGACTCCCCACAGGCAACGGAGCTTCGCAAGCACCTACGGAAGTCACTATACTCCAAACGAAATCCGGCAGTTCAGACAAAGACACGTAACAGATGGAGCGCTTCCACTCCTGGGTGGACTCTCGATGCCGGACAGTGCCATCCTCCAGTCGGTCAGAAGCCCGAACAACCCGGAGCCAATCACATGCGGACCGCGCCTATGTAGTCCATCCAACGTTGTCCATCCAACGTTAAGACAACAKGAGCTACGCAACAAACAGTACAACGTCCAGAAGTCAAGAGATGTCGTCCTTGCCAGCTTATTCCAGAACTTAAGGGTTCTGGAGTACGACATCTTGGCAATCCAAAAACCCTGGCGTAATCCATTCATCGCTTGTCCTACCATCCTCTCAAAAAACACACTTCCAAGTTCTAACTTATGTACTCCGCTGAGACTGCGACGAGAGTATGCCTCTACATCAACAAAAGAATCGATCCAGGTACTGGAATGTCTCCTTCATCTCTAAGGATATAATCTCCCTCAATCTCCGACTCTCGTCTTAACCAAAGCATTCACATCTTMAACGTCTACAACGAAGTGACCTCCGACGCGCTCCTGACATTGGCCGAAGCCATTGGGACGCTCAACTCAGACAGAATTGTCGTTCTGGGCGACTTCAACCTTCACCACCCGCTCTGGTCAGCAGACCATCGTCGTTCTCGCAGTGGGCCTAGCGCCGAACACCTACTCAAAATCATTGAGGACTCTCAGCTACAGCTCCTCGCTGTACCCGGGACTCCTACCCACCGATGGAAGGATGGTGAATCCACAATCGACCTGACCTTTGCCGCCGAAGACGTAACAGCCCGGGTCACCCATTGCAAGATTGATAAAAGTCTCGACTGTGATTGCGACCATCTCCCGATTGCCCTGGCCATCAAATGGGGCTGGCAACCTGCGGAACCAAAGAAAAAGCGGCTTTGGTCGAAATATACCTATCCTGCAACAAGTGACTCAGAGACACCTCGCTGGAACGAGTGATGTCACGGAACTCAGTGGCAAAGAGGGTATCGATGGATTCGTCTCGACCCTCATTCAAGCCCTGAATGCTGGTATCGAGGCCTCTGCCCAGTGGTCCAACCCATCCCCACGCTCGATCCCAGGATCCAATCAGGAGTGCCGGGACCTCTGCACAGAAGTTCAACGACTTCGGCGAAGGTGGCAGCTTACGAGACAGGATGATGACTACGAGGCCTACCGACAAGCACGCAATAGGAAGGGCCGGCTCGTCCAGAAGACTCTCCGAAACAACCATCTTCAAAGAGTGGAGGAGGCATCAGCGTCACCATCTGGCCTCTGGAAACCTGTTCAAATGGGCCAAGAACAGAAACAACGCATCAGCGGCCTGCACGCCGCCACTGTTGAAACAGGATGGAAGATTGGCCCATGAGCCAGAAGAAAAGGCAGAGACACTACGCCAAACCTTTTTCCCGCTTCCGGCCCAAGCCGATCTTTCAGACATTGAGGGATACGCGTATCCG